ACGCAATGCTTCACCTGTCTACTTTACACCATGATTCTATCTAGATCGTCGTCTCGGGGGTGTTGCCAGGCCGCGGTTTCACGCCGCGCGGTGGGTGTATGAACGAACTGCCGGCGCGTCCGCGCCGTCCGCTGATCGGCTGTCGCTACACATGAAAACATAACCAACGACCGAATTCCCCTCCTCACCAGTGCTTCCATGGTGGAATAATAGCGTTTTTCTTTGGCAGAACTGGTGCGCACTCAGTGCACATTAGGGCTCAGTCACAATGAGAAAAATAAGGAATAAGATAAAGGAATAAGACATGTTGCATCTCACTTTAAAGGCTATTGCACGTAACAATGTTTTGGTCATAATCGTAAGGCCATAAAAAATAGACCAATCACACTCGATTATTCTTCGAGCTCAAGGAGAATAATTGACTGTGATTGGTCTATTTTCTTACGGTCTTACGATTATGACTAAAACTTTGTTACGTGCAATGGCCTTAATGTACGACGTGTACTGAAGTAAGATGCGACATTCCTTTATTCCTTTATCTTATTCCTTATTTTTCTCATTGTGACTGAGCCCTTAAATGCCCTTAAAGCCGTTGTATGTACACAAATCAACGTAATGTGTATGTTTAATATTAACGGGTTAAGTCACGAAAGTCTTAATATTCTTTATTGTATGTACTGTTTGGTAAAATATGTATTGGCTATTTTATCAATTAAAATATTTGCATTATACTTTAAATATTAAAGATTAAATCAGTGTACAACGGCTTTAATGTGCACTAAGTGCGCACTAGTTCTGCCAATGAAAAACGCTATAGACCTAGTTTACATCGATCACTTGATACGCGTATTAAATAGTAAATAACTAGTAAATAAGTCTGATTATTGGCTGATCAGTTCAAATATACCGTACGCGTATCAAGAGATCGGTGTAAACTAGGCCATAGTTTCCTTCCACCATGAGTGCTTCACCTGACTTCACCCCACTTCACCCCTGTAACCTTATGTTTACTCCTTTACCTCTGTTTATCTCCGGCAATCTCCGGTGTGGAGTCTACAAATAAGCACGTTCAGAAGACACAACTGTTGAGTTCGTCTTATCAACACTCTGTGTTTAAAATTTGTTGAAAGCGAGAAGAGAAATTCTATTGCGGTCCAATACAACAGTAAAAAAAAGTACAGTATTAGTCGATGCATAAGATAACAATGACATCAAAAGAAATCTTGTCAAAGGTCTTGAGCCATGGAAAAGATAAAAGTGATCCCGCAACGTTGTCGGAGTTATTTGACAATGCTTTCGAGCTATTCAACAGTATTAATAATACAACAGAACCTACAAACAGTTCAAAAGTACAGGTGAGATCTTAAAACCTCCTCCAATAATAATATTAATCGCCAGACTTATGGGTCTGTTTTCTATTGCTGAACTGGCTGCGCTTGTTCAGAGTTTATCTTTTTCCTTCCAATATGGAATAAAGGGTAATTATTCAGTTTACACCCCTCACAGGGCATGTTCGTAGTCGCTACATGTCGTCGGTATGACAGGAATCATAACCTGAGAGTCGTCAACTTTAACTGTTAATATTTTGCTTCGCGGGGCAGAGCGACATTTTTTTCTGCCAGATTCGGTCGTTTTGAGCAAAAACGCGTCAATTAAGCCTAAGTTCATCAAAATCGGAGGTGAGGGGTGTAAACTGAATAATTACCGAATAAAGAACTAGTGCTACCAGTTCAGCAATAGAAAACAGAAGTATGTACACACATACCACACACACACACACACACACACACACACACACACACACACACACACACACACA